GAATTGACCAATTGTAGCGGAGGCTTAAGCGTTTTCGACTGACTGGAACTGACATGGATTTTAGTGCTCCCGGAGCGCTTAACCTGAAGATACTAGGAACATATATTCGACCGAAAATGTGTTATGAATGGGTTAGATTGGGTTCGAGTTATAATATTCTTTTTAATTCTTTTTAATTTTACGATAAAATCGAAATGTTTATTGGTAAGTTTATTCGTTATTATCGTTAAAGAATGCTTTGTTCTACAATAAACACGCACGTATAACCTGATTCTAACCTTACGAAGCTTCTGGGCATTGATGCGGTATCCAGCTTCTGATTGGTTCGCTATGTTTATGATTTTCCTGCTGAATTTTGAATTGACAATTTTAATCTACTTTTATAGTTTTACAAACGATAGGTTATCGTAATTGATTTTGATTATATTGATGCGAATCCCTTTGTCGAAGTGTTATTGCAAAATGGTGCTGCACATCCACCCATTTTTGCTATAAACAGCAAACTCACACACACTATTATCAAACTTCGTGCGATGTGCGGTTATATTTTAGGTTACGTCTCGATCTGATGCAATCTGATGGTAGCTTAAAGAGAGAGTGAGATATTAATACTGCTCTCTTTCTCTCTCTCTCTCTCTCTCTCTTTCTCTCTCTCGTTGGATTTGACTAAACATGGCGGACAACTCTATTGGCCAAACTCTCTGATTAAAGGGTCTCTAACTATATTCATAGCACAATCAATCCATTCTATATCATTTATTTGTTGATGGATTATAAAACCTTAAGGGGATGCTGGAGTGATTCTGCACTTTTGCACCTTTCTAACCTAGAAAGTAGTATACAAATTAAATGACTTACGTGTACAGATCGAAAGCAGCTTGCTATTCCGGCTAAATTAAAGAACAATATGGCATCACTGAAACTAAGTTTGTAAGTCTAATAAGAAATAATAGTGAGCAACATATAGTCGATTCTATATCATTTATTTGTTGATGGTTTATAAAACCTTAAGGGGATGCTGGAGTAATTCTGGACTAAGATTGTTTATTTTTGCGGGGAGCTCACACCTTTGCATAAGTGCATAAACATATACATAACGAATTTGATTGGTCTAGAAGCAACTGCATAAGGAAATGGACCAATCAAATTCGTTATGCATCCGCTTATGCACTTATGCAAAAGTGTGTGCTCCTCGCTTATGTCCGGATGAGACTCTAGAATCGGTGACCAACTTCAAGTCCCAATTATCGATCGGCGAATTGAAGTTCGAGATCTCGACGCCAACCGACGCTCGTCGGTTCGTGAATTTGTGCGCGACGCGAACGCAAAATTTGTTTTTCGGACCAATATTTCCGCTGTTCTGCAGGTCTTACCGTTCATATATCGATGTATGGGGTCGAAGCATCTGCCCTTCGAAGGTAACACCTTCGTACATCTGGATTCGCATCCGGATATGCTGATACCTAAGGAGATGCCGGCCGATACGGTGTGGGACAAGAATCAATTGTTTAGGTACGTATGCGCAACAATCATGTTTCCTTTGGCATTGCGAACCTGTCTGCTCCTCATTTTTGCCCTCTGACAAAATTGACGGTTTCAGTTACAGTTGCATTAGTGATCTGTTTTTTTTTACAAATGTGAGTTTCTCGGGCGAAAAACTTTCAGAAATGACTGATTCGATTAACGTACGTTATTTAATTGAGGTGCAAAAAATCATCATAGAATTGTAGATTTATGTATAGCAAACTCTTAAACACAATGTGCATTTTTGGTAACGTGGAACGCAAAAAGTGAGAGCTAGGAAAGAGGGATAAAAAATACACGGCTTTTTAATCTGCAAACAAATTTCATAAGCAAATATTAGAGGAACGTCTAATATAAGACAGCGGAGCTTCTGCTAAATTAATAAGCATCGTCTACTGGTTCCACCATGAATTTATTGCCTTTGGAGTAAAATCTCTCTGTTTAGTGGAAAATTGATGTTAGATCGCGTAATCGTTGCGAAAAAAGTGAATCTGAACATTGAAAACCATCTCATATTAGACTCTTGTCTCATAATAGAAGACTTTCCTTTAATAATAATTCTGTTCTTATTCTTTCAGCGAGATCAGCATCGAGAATTGGATTCTGCCTGCGGTGTACGCGGGTCATCTTAAGAACCTGATCTGGGTGAAACCACCGTGGGCGAATCAGATGACCGACGGTGTACTGACTTTCCTCATCGGCAAGCAGAAGGAGACCGGCGTGATAAGGTGAGTGATGTAATCGATATAATCTCCTGTGTGATTCACATATTGTTTATTCCAAGTATTACCCCCCCTCCCTCAATTCTCGTTCTCTCGATCGTTTTGTTTAATTGTCAATAACTACTCGAGATCGTTCATTGTCTCGTTATTTATTGCTCTGCATTTATTTCCCAGGGGCTCAACAATATCGAAATTAGCGCGAATTGACTCGATTAACCGCGAATGCACATCGCCGTTGATCAACACTGAGTTCTTAATTTTACCACAATTAAATCTCTCTTGATATTGAATCCCAGATAACAATTCTTGCGCGCAAACTTTGCTTGTCTTGTGCATGCAAATTTGTACGAGATTTGCATGCGTTTTGCTCGTAAGATATGTTTGGTCTGTGTTTTTGCACAATGAATCGACACGTGTAGAATACCTATTCGACATACATATTCTCTTACTAATAATCTACTTCAAAATTATTTCTAAAATTATATACTTAAAAATTATGGGCGAACTTACATATCCTACGCGCGAATATTTTTTTAACTTATATTATTTTTATCTATATTAGTGGTTAGCTCTTGTATCTTGTATACAACCACTTGCGTGCAAAACTAAAAAAAATATATATATCTAATATAGATAAAAGTAATATAAGATAAAAAAATATTCGCGCGTAGGATATGTAAATTCGCCCATAATTTTTAAGTATATAATTTTAGAAATAATTTTGAAGTAGATTATTAGTAAGAGAATATGTATGTCGAGTAGGTATTCTACACGTGTCGATCCATTGTCTAACACTGCCTCAAGTACGCATCGATACGCTTTTTTAATTTAAATAAACTGTTTTTTAAGAAAATTAAGTACTGAAAACGTACCAATCGTGCCATTGCACGGTGAAGAAATCAAACACTGTAAAGTCCGATTACGGTTGTCGCAATGATACAATCTCCTCGTAAAGGTCATTTCACACGGTTGAAAGGTGGTGATATGCGTCCGGTAGAGAAAAGTCGTCACATACACGCACACACTCGGCGAGGCAGGACACGCACAGGCGGCCGTAGGGTTGACGAGAGAAACGAACGGGGCGGGGAGGAAAAAGGGCAACTAAAGTAGCAAAAGGGAAGCCGACACGTCGCGGCGATATATGCCGCGAGAAACTCGTGATTCAGCGGTCCGTCAGGACTTGAGTTATGTTTCTCGAATTACCGTGGGGATATATATGTCCGCGCAGCGTGAGTGAAACATGCCGGTTATGTCATGATCCTCCTTCACTCGTGTCTTGATTGATTTCTATTGGCTTCACTAGCTTTTGGTAGCTCAATACCGCTAATATTTTACCGTACAAATCACAATAATTGGACAGTTTATTGCCGAGTTATTAGTGATCGGATATTTATTAGACTCAAGACTGAAATTAACGACTCCAAACGAGAACATTTTCTAATAATTTCATTATTCATAAGATAGTAGAATATTAATTTATTTGTGTCTTTTAAGAAATAAAGAGTAGCAAATTGTTAAGTGAGATTTATCGTCACTATTCTTTTTTTTAGACATAGAAGCAGATTAACATTCTACTATTGCGAATAACTCAGATTATTAGAAAATTTTATTCCAGTTAAAATATGAAATGAAAATAATATATTATTAGTAATTCATTACATACGCACACACGGAGAGAATTTTCTCTGAAAATTTATGTTGAAAATCATGTGTGATCGTGGGACAACATTTTACCATACAACAATTTTACCATGCATGTTACTAGTAAAATGTATGGTAAAATATTGTCCCACGATCACATATGATTTTCAAGATAAATTTTAAGAGAAAATTCTCTCCGTGTGTGTATGTGTGTATGTAATGGATTACTAATAATATATTATTTTACTAGTTAAATGTATGATAAAATTTCAACAAACTCACATAAAATTCCTCGAAATGCCGTGTTGTTCCATGATTATATACAAAAATTTTAAAGGAAAATTCTCTCCGTGAATATTTTAATGATTCAGTATGAAACTCAAAGATTAAAATTATTTATAAAAACGATTTGACTTGTAAATATATAGATATTTGTAAATGATTTATAATTGGAAATATATATATGATAAAATCAAATTTCGCGCAAACCGTTATTGCACACTCGTCAGGAATTATGGGAGGCTTTTAATATTCGTTACGTAATTACTTTAATTCCGATGACACATAAATATAATACGTCGGTGTTAATAATCTTTATATACATCAATTGATATCCGCTTAATTAATTTGAGTAATTAAAGTGAGATTGCACATCTGATGATTTACGCCCTTCGAACAACCCGGCGTATTATCTCGAGGCACGCACGTGGCCCGAATTACACTTGTCTTCGAAATTTCGCGGAGCATAACAAAAAAAGCAAGGGAGGAAAGAATATAAATTGCGTATCGCGAAAAAGGGTTAATGGTCTTGCGGCAATATATAATAACGGGAATGTTCGGGGACAGTGCTTGTAGTATCGAATTAATGAGCGCGCGCTGGTTCGTTATATTGAATTACATTCGAAAAAAAATTTCTCAATTATTGATAATTGCACTGTCATACCGGGCCTAGGACCTTCGGCGGTGCGCGCGACACCGGTGCCGATAAGATCGGAGTCGGTGTTTGCGATCGCATCGCGGCTGCTTTTTCGTCGAAGCTTATTCATACGTAATTGCCTGTACCCACGCAGGTGCCTGTTCCGCATCATTCGATTTCCATCGATGCTTGTCCCGCAGGACGTAAAACTTCCTTGTCCGCGGCTCGCGTCGCGTGCAAGCTGCACTCTTTCTTCTCTCGGGCGTCGGGACGTGGGAGGCACGTGATGCCGCTAATTGCCGCTAATCGCTGTTAATTCCGACATCCCCGCCGACTTTGCCCTTAAGTTGGAAAGTAATTGAAATTGAGACGCGATTAAGGGCTTTTCGCATAAATGTTGAATTGACTTAGTGAATTTCTCATGTTTCTTCCCTGGGTAGAAATGTATGCAGTTTCTTTAGACACCTTTTCAGTTACTGTCTAGTATTACTGCATTCTCATTAGTTCTAACAATACTGCAGAGAAAATGGACAAGAACTTGATAGAGTTTTATTTGTCAGTGCTGAAGCAGTTTTCCTGGTAAAAATATAAGCCGTTTGCTTAGACATTTGCCCAGTTATTGTCTAGTACTAATATATTTTTTCGAATATCTTTCTTAATCTGAGTGACGCCATCGTTCTTTTTTATACTATATATATATTTGTCGAACTTTTTTCGCTTATGCCAAAGCGATCTAAGAAGACCAGTTGTGGCGAATTGCGACAATGGACAATGGCGCAATAATCTACAATAGAGATCCACCTGGAAGTTCCATGTCGAATGAATAGGGTCTGCAGCACAATCATCTCGTAAACTCGGCTTCCTTATGTGCCCTTCTCATCCACCTCACGCGGATTGTTCTTTTTGTGCTCCGTTTCACGTTTCGTGGCTCTCTGCGCGGAGCGGCACTCGCCTACTTATGCGAGAGTGTCGTGCAAGAAGAGAGCCCTCCGCTCGGTTTTACGTACAACAGTTTTATCTGGACGATAAAGTCTTGCGGGATTGCCAGTACCATCCCAGTCAGTATTCCGCACTATTTTACGCGCTCGGTACACTTTGTGCCTCTTCGTGAAGATTAAAATTGTGTGTGAAAGCGTGGATACGCGATATTTTTAGAGCGTAGAACCTGGCAAAACGCGATGTAATCTAATCATTTCTCTTGGGTATCTACTCACGTAATCAAGCAAATGTTTTTAAGCGCTTTCTGTTCTCACATCACGTCTCAAAGATCTCGTACATTCCGCGGGATTTCTGGAAAAACAGCGTTCATGCAACCAAGTACGCGAACATATCCTCGGTGCCTGGTAGTAAATACCTGCCATAGCTAAGACACGACTTGTGTACCGGTATTCTGAATACCGGTACGGTAAAAGCTTGTTACAGCTTTCGCTTGGTGACTTGGTCACATGGGTTGCTTAGTGGAATGCAACATTGATTTCTATTTCCTTTCCTCCGTACCGAATAATCCATTGTGTGGACATTGCTCAGTTAGTTCATCTGTTAACCATCGATTTGACGATCGGTCAATACCTGCGACACAAGGATAATTATTTGAAATATTCTCTATTGAAATAAAAACTTTAGAATATTATGTATAATATTATAACATCAAATGGTATTATATAACGTTAAGTTTATGATACCGTTGATCTTGTGCGTTGCAATATATTTTACATTTAATCGTTTTGCAACAATAATATTATATCTTATAATCTTCATAATAAAATTTTTACTTCAAAACAATAGGATAAACTATAATATTCTTTTTTTAATAACAAATATATTATAAAATATATTTGTTATTAAACAACTATAAACAAAACTATATATTTAAAAACCAGAATCGCATCTTGATGACGAGTCTTTTTGGTATTTTACAAGAGGGAAACCGCCGAGGGCATTGTGGTGTACAGATTCGCGGCATTGCTGGGCATTACTAGGCATTTTTTCGGCATTAATTTGGGCATTAGGTTTTGCTAGGGCATTATAAAGATAAAATAAGATGAGACAAGATAAATAAGATAAAATGAGATAATAAGATAAAGTAATGGACATTAGTGGGCATTGGTGTACAAGATTTTGGTCAGCGGTTTCCCCCCTCGGTATTTCATTGAGAGTTGCATCACGATTTACACACCGCAGTTTCGTAAAATGGAAAATTAATTGCTTTTAATTAAAATCGTAGCTTCATGGCAGATTTATTCCTCGAATTTTGTCGATAACTCATTCATTTGCGACGTAATAGATGTTATTTAATATACGTACAGTGACTGTACGTTTCTGATATGCTACAACAATTAATAATATGTGTCCTATGGTGCACGCCGGCGCGCACACACGCGACTGATTGGCGACGTATATCTCGGCACGTATAAAAGATTATGATACACGCGCAGATTATGGCGTGGAC